GTGTGTGTGTGTGTGTGTTTTGGGGGGGGGTCTTTTCTCATGCTGGGGTTCGGGGACTCCGATGTTGTCGTCCTCGTCTTAACTGCCGTAATGCATGGTGTTGCTCGGGATGACCATCGGTGACGCCATGGAGATTGCGGCGCCCCCCATGGTGAACTGGTTGGTGACAGGGTAGTAGGTACCACTGCTGCTGGGACCCGACTGGCCCGTGGTGGCTCCTGCAGGTCAGGACACAGAGTGACGGGTCAGCGCTCTGAGTCCAGTCAAAATCCAATGTCAAATCTTATGAAACTGAGGTGGATTAACACAGACCAGGTTAATGGATCGTTTGTGCTGAAGTGGACGTACCCTGCACGATCCCTGTGCTCATGATGGAGCCCATCCTGGAGTGGGTGTGGTTTACAATTCCTGTGTTTACTGTGAGGAGAGAAAAGTCAGTGACACAGAAGAAGAAGAAGAAGAACAAGAAGAAAAACACAGGGGTCAGAGGTCAGAGGTCAGGGAGCGTGTGGCTCTTACCTAAGGGGATGAGGTTGTTGTGAGACACTGAGGGGCCGCTGCCAATGACTGTGCTGAGGTCATAAGCTGCAGGCATCCCTGAGGAGGGCAGAAACAACGGGGGGTTACAAACAACTACCCCACGGGGTAAATAAAAGTAGGAAATCAGGTTATCAAATACAGATACAAGTAGTATACATTTATTACTGCTTTTATATTGAAGTATTTGAGCTATATTTATTATATTTACTATATTTATTTATATATAGGTTTTTTACATTTTTTCAATTTCTCCAACATCCCAAGATAACTAAAGACACATGTATCCAGATTACTGCTGTATATTTCATCCACGTGTGACTCTGTCCTGGTTATTTTTAACCAACAAGTATTTACTGACTGAAATCTTTAGGCGTTCTTTGTCTGTTTTTGTGTGTGTGTGTGATCCTCCCAGACCAGTCGAACTGGCCTGAAGAACAAGAACAAGAACAACAACAGGTGAGGTGTGTTGGTGTGTTGGTGTGGAGACGTGGAGGGACGTCATGTGACTCCTCCTCACAGCCTGGACATAAATGTGATGAAGTGTCTGTGATCACTGCTCTCCATCAGAGGGTGTTCTTTTCTACGGCCATACCTGGAGTTTTTCTACATTTACTTTAATGTTTATGTTTTTTTGAACTGAGCTCCGAGAGTCGTCCAGGAGTCGAGTCCTGACCAAGGTCTAAGACCAAGATCCTGTTAGATCTAACCACAAAACCCCACCAGGAACCGTGACTTCAGCGCTGCTCTGAGTAGGAGTTTGAATTTGATTGGGTGTCGGCGTCACATGGACGACCACATGGTCCAGAAGCAGCGGTTCTGTTGTTTAATTTTGTCTGTTGACAGCCGATGACCTTTAACCTTGTTGCCCTCACTCAGTCGTTTGTTTGGGACACGTGGGAACTCCAGGTCCAGGTCATAAAGTGCTATTTTTGAAAAGCCACTGTATCGTTGGAACGGTTCCTGACAGAGAACACACCCTGTCACCCCAGACTGATCCGTTTCTCTCCCCGTGTATCACCTCTGCCAACATACTGAGGTCATGTGTGTGGTCACCTGACACAGCCATCCCCTGACTCATGCTGTAGGCTGACCCTGTGTTCCACATGTTCTCAGATGGGGAAGTGTAGTGTGAGCCGGGGGGAGGGTTGGGGGTGGTGCCCGTGTACCTGCAACAGCAAATGCACAAACGCCAGGGAGTTAGAGGCACAGAGCAACAAAGGACACAGGTGTGAATGGTTCTACAGAAGCTCCGGCCTCGTGTCCTGAGGTCCTGAGACCAACTCACCTGAAAAAGGGGTTCTTCAAGTCCAGGAGGTTGCTGGACTTTGATCCTGTCTGGTCCACCTGGGCAACAATACTGATGTCGTAGCTCTGTCTGTGAGAGAGAAAACCAGCGTTAGACTGAAGTGGTGTCGACCAGGGTTTCACAGGAAGTGGTTCGTCAGGCAGTGGGACATTTAGAGACTGAACCTGTTTTTGTTCCTCCTACATTTGAGACGCCAGAACAAAACTTTTTTTTTTTTTTTTGAATGTATTTCAGAGCAGAGTTCTCTACCTCCTGTTAGCTATCAGCAGTGCTGTGCCAGACAGCGTGTCTCCAGCCTTGGTGAAGAGAGGAGACTGAAGCAGACAGCGCACCTGGTACCAGTGGGTCAGAGGCTCAGTGGGAGCTGTGGACAGCCACACCGTCATCCTGCACGACGAGGAGGAGGAGGAGGAAATGAGGGAACCGCTCAAAACATTTCTTTATAATGACAAATAAAGTCTGACTTACACTGATCCCATGAACGCCACATCAAACCAGAACGCCAGTCCGTGGACCAGGCCAGAGTGCATCATGTGGAACTTAAAGGGAATCTCTATCCTGTGGGTCACATGACAAAAGAGAGAGGGAGAAAAAGTCAGCACTGGTTGTTCTGATGAAATTACTGGAGAAAAACAAAGTCAGCACACACCACCACTGGTTGTTCTGATGAAATTATACACACACACACACACACCGACCTGTAAAGATCATCCTCTTTGGCCTCCAAGAAGTTGACTGTGTGTTTGACAGATTTGGCCATCAGGATACGGATGTCAAAGGTGTCCTGTCAGGGACAAAAAAATAAAATAAAAAGGTTCATCAATCAGCACAGTGCATGTTGAAGCTGATTCAAACAAAGTTGATTCAGTTGAAAACCACTGGTAATTACAGCACATTAAATCATCATCGTTCTACAGAAGCTGTGACATCACAAGAAGAATTACTGACACACCGTCCTGGGGATCAAACCCACAGACATTTGTCATGAACGCCAACATGTGGATGCTCGCCCGACCGCGGGCGTGTCATGAGTAACTCACCACGATTGGCTGACGAAAGTACTCGTCCACAGCTGCCCCCCGCAGGGCTGACAGGTCCACACCGTGGAACGAGGGCTGATACCTGAGGGTGAGCAGATCAAAGGTTCAGAAAAGTGATTTGTTTTCAGCAGAATCTCAGAGACAGAGACTGTGGCTGCAGGCAGTGAAGTTTCTCTCAAGACTTTTTTTTTTTTAATGTTGTAAATCAGCACAATTCTCAGGATCGTCTCCAGAGGCACCAGGAAAAAAAAACAAACATCTGAAGCCGAGGACAAGATTTCTGACAGACTTGATTACCCATGATTCCTAGCCCTGGACGTCTGGACAAAAATCTGTTCATGAACACGACAGACGTGACCTGTCAATCAAGCATTTTTGGAATTTTCCAGTTGAATCTGGACACACACACGTGTGAGTTTAGCCTTTAAACAGACGTTTGTGTAGTGTGTCCACAGATTTAACAATGTTTGTTCAGTTTTAAGATCAGTGAAGATAAAACTCAAGAACAGATGGAAAACTTCAGGATTTCCACTATTTAAAAAAAACAAGAGACGTTGATATTAACAGATCAGCTGATTGGATGTTTCCTCCTCCTCCTCACCAGAAGTTGGCCTTGGTGAATTGCTCCATGTAGAGCTGCTCGTCTGTGAAGGGGGCCAGGTGGACGTCACCGATGGTGGGAAACATCTTCCCTGTGAGACGGACACAGACCCACGGATCAGTCAACGACTGACTCTTATTTTTCCCTCCACTCTTGTGAGTTGAACATTTTCTCACCGTTGGGTTTGAGGAACTTCTTGGCGTGCAGGTAGCTCTCCAGCATGCGCTCGTTAAACAGCATGTAGCCCATTGGCTCTGAGATGATGATGTCCACCTGCTCCGGCAGCGTCACCTCCTCCACCTTCCCGGGGATGACCACCACGCGCTCGCCTAAACGGTTACTGTTGACCAGCACCTGTGAGGTAGAGCAGAGACTCACTGAGGTCTGCGGTCACTTCAAACCAACCAGATCTGTGTGAACCGGCGTGCTGACCTCAGCGTGCTGGGCCATGGTGCTGGCCTCCACAGCGTACACCTTCCTGGCTCCCGCTTGAGCTGCGAAAAAAGAGAGGATCCCGGAGCCACAGCCGACATCCAGGACGACCTGAGGACAGACGAGGAGACGTCACGTCACTGTTGGTGACGACCACGGACAAGACGACGCTAAAGATGACGTAAAGGGCTGCTCTGAGTTTCACTAGCCACCAACCAAAAATATAAGAGCTGCGTGTTGGTGACCTGGTGATTTTTTTTTAACCATTGTAACTGTAGTGTCAACTAAAGACTTGTTGCTGCTGTTCCACCTGAACATCAGACACTAACACTGGAACAGAGGGATCTACGTTTGGAATCACTAGAGAAAATGAAAAAGAAAATGAAGTGTTGTTCAGTGGATCCAAATTATGTCTCAAACCCCTTAAAAATATGTATTTCCCAATAACAAAAATGAGTAAAACACTAATTAGTACTGGGTACTGTTTGAAAGCACTGTCGTTACGGTGAAATGCTGAAATAACAACAAAGTTTTAGGCAGGTAACTACCATGTATTTAAACCATGTATTAGGTTGTTTTTATTTAAAATGAATATTATTCCATATACTACATGTATATATATATATAAATAATGTTTTTAAATGTAAATGTTATACTGTTGTATTGAGGTTGGACATGAACCTCAGTCCAGTGAGTGAGATGAGAGTTTCACATGTTAATGCCTTCGTGGACGGCTCTGGGAAAAAGGGTGGAATCTGTTAACAGCACAGAGAGGAATTTGGCCAAAAGATGACATAAGTGAGTTCTGCAGAACCGATGAATCATATCAACATTCAGTCTGCGGAACAGAACTGTGTGAGCGTCCAAAAAAAAAAAGAAAAGAAAAATCATTTTTAGTTGGAGGATAAAACTCCACGACTCAACATATGCATCGGCGTCAGACGTGACGTTGAACTGGTGCATTAGTATTCACAGGTGAATCACCTTGTCCTTGAAGTCAGAGTGGTTTTGGAGAATAGCCCGTTGGTAGGTCCCTGTCCGAACATAGTCCTGCATCATGTTCTGTTGCTGGGAGAGGTAGCCATAAAACTGAGGACGGAGGGAAAAAAACGGAAAAAGAAGTCGGTCAGAAACGACAGACAGAAGAATGTTCACTCTGCTGTGTTCATCTGGTTCATCTGGATCTTCAGACACCGTGACCTCCGTGACTGGAGCTACACAAGAGTGTGTGTGAGTGTGTGTTCCTCTCACCTGGAAGTACTGTACAGCTGATGACTCTTCTGTTCTGTCACTAAAGACTGAGCGCTCGCCAAGGTGACCGCGACAGTTCTTCAGGATATTATAAAAGGACTGAAAGTCTGTGAAGGAGCAGAAGGAGAAAATGAATAAAGCACTACAGCTGAAGAACACGAACACTTTAGATACTACAGTAGTTAGGGGTGAAAAATAAATATGGATACACTGAAATACTGCCATAACCTCAGTCATCAGTTATTGATTTTTTTTCTCTCCAATTCCCAGTCCAATATTCCTGGTGTTGGTTCATGTTCTTTTTCTTTTCTTTCTTCTCTAGTGATTCCAAATGTAGATCCCTCTGTTCCAGAGTTAGGAACTGATGTTCAGATGGAACAGAGTCTGAGACTAGGATCACACTGGGACTACAACTGGATTATAATAGTGTGTCGTGACTTTAACGTCGCAACATATCGTATCTTTGCCCCTTGTATCGTGACGTGTATCGTATCGGCAGATTCTCACCAACACACAGATCTACTGGACCGACACTGAGGTAACAAAGAGCAGCTTTTTAGAGTTGGAAATGAATCAATAACTGTGATCAGGGCCGGTATCAACATCCAAGGACACGGACGCAGCATCTCCAGATAAGAGCTCAGCTATAAAGTGATCATGTGACCTGAGTCTGAAAATAACCACAGTATTGGTTTCATTACAGTCTATGAAAGGAAATACCTCCACACACACAGTATAGATTTATTTATATATTCAGCTCTAATATAAATGTCTAACTATTTATAAAATGACATTGTTTTATGAGGAGTTGTTAGATTAGTGTGTTTTTCTGTACGTAACATGATCACATGACAACAAAAAAAGGTTGAATCCTTGTTGCTGCTCAGCAACGATGTCACAAACTGATTCACACGTGTACGTGTGTGTGTGTGTGTGTGTGTTTGCTGCTCAAGCGTGAAAGTGAGACGTTCTTGTTCTGCAGCGACCACAGAAAAAACATCTAGGCCACATTTCAAAGGCAGGTGTAAACAGACCTGACACCGTCCACGTGTCATCAGAACCCCCACCGGACCCCCCCCCAACATTAACACCAGGGCATCCGTGGAGAGTTTAGGGGGGCAGAGGTGAGCGTGATTAAACCTGATCTACGCTGCTGGTAGTTGAACCAGGAGTGTGTGGAAACACGAGCTCACTGCTTACATAACAAACCTTGGCTCGCTGGCCCAGTGAGGGGTCGTTACCACACATCACGAAAGACGGTTCCTGGAGCAGACAGCTGAGTCAACTCCTAAATAATCATCAGTCATCTTTCATTTGATCAGTTCATGCTTGTCATTTTATGTCGGAATCAAAGCACGCGCACAGATCCTGTCGTTGTTAGGTACGTAATTTGGTACGTTTTCAAAAAAGCTTGCGGCTACGTAGTACCAGTGGAAAGGTAGGGGGCGGTGTTGTGCACAATAGTTCACTCATAAAAGGAACATCGGGACGAAAACAGATCAACAGAACATCAGAGGAACTCTCAGTCCAGGCTCAGATTCCAGAGCACGGCGTTGTGTGTGTGTGTGTGTGTGTGTGTGTGTGTACTTGGAGAGGCAGCCGTTTTGTTTTGATGTGTGTGTGGTGTTTACCTCCAGGTGAGGAGAACTGCAGCAGGACACTGTTGCAGCCCAACGTGATGATAAACGACTGCTTCCCTACGCGGCTGCACTCTGTCTCCCTGGAAACTGAACACTTGAAAACACTGGCATCGTCTCCTGAAAAGTAGTGGATGGAGGGATGGAGGGAGGGGAGGGAGAGAGAGAGAGTCAATCAGTCAGGACAGTGTTAGGACACACACATTGCATCGTCCACTGTGATGTGATGAGGCCAACAACATCGTATCGTTACCACGGTATCAGGACACGTATCACATCACCAGATTCTTGCCAATATACAGCCCTAGTTCAGTCATCAAACCCCGCCCACTGCTGACAGTTGGACAGTGACATAATCTCACGTGGACTGTAGGATTCTTCTACAGCTGAGTGAACGCTGTCCAACTGTCACATGATGACGGTCACAACAATAAGGGTCGCGTTTCAAACTGTTGATCACGGATTATTACACAGACGTGTGAGAAATAAAATATTAAAAAAAATATTTGTTATTGGTTATCATTCACGGATTATTACAGACGTGTGAGAAATAAAATATAAAAAAATATTTGTTATTGGTTATCATTGATAAACTGTTGATAATAAGTCCATTTCACAACTAATGCTTTTCATAGAAGTGTGTGTGTGTGTGTGTGCATTTTTTATATTTTGTTTCCTGTGGTTTTAATTTGACAGACTTACAGCTTGGTGCAGCTCACAGTGAAGACTCAGATATGGGCCATGTTGGCCCGCAGTCACAATGTTGTCCTCGTTTTTCAAAACAAAAATAAATCTCTCAGAGTCTGCCACAAAACACACTTCAGGAAATGAAGAAAACGGAACTGAACAAAAATCAAAAAGTCAAAAGAGTTGAAGAGTCGTATTCTGACTGAGAGTTCAGGAGTGAAGTCTCGAACAGCTGGGAGGAACTGGTGGTGAAGACTGAAACTGAAACTTCCACCGAGTTATAGAAATATAAGGCATGTAAATCCCTAGAAAATCGTTCCTTATTTTTAAAAACTTCAAACACAGACATGTCTGAAAACACGCAGCCAAAAAGACACCAAGGATTTTACAGACATGTCTGAAAACACTCTGGGAATTCATCACGCAGCCAAAAAGACACCAAGGATTTAAGTTAAATCACTCGTCAATTATGAAAATCTACTTAAAGATTCAAGGCTTTTGTTATCGTTTTGTTGCGATGACGCCGCAGTTCTTTAATTTTCACACATCGTCACTGCACCAGAACATTCCATTTCAGTCTCCTCTGTGACTCCTGTGAATCAGTGACTGAAATGTGCCGACGACTCGGTGTCTGTGCTGTCACTTCTGCTGCTGACGACTCAGCCCCGCTGCTGCTGCTGCTGCTGCTGCTGCTCCGTCCACTACATGGACGTAGAGTTTGGACACCGTGCAGACAGGAGACGTAAACACGCCTGCTGCTCGACAACAGAGGGAAAAAAACAGCTGCAGACTTGTTAGAAGCCTCAGCTTGTGAGAGCCACTGTCACTGATGGAAACTAAGGTTTTCATCATCATAGCCTCATGGACGAGCAAGTTTGAAATCGGAGCAAAAGGGAAGCTTTTATTACATTTAACCAGGTGTCAAAGGTCATCCCCTAGATGGAAAAAAATGTATATTTGTGGTAATAATTAAAACAAATTAGAGGGAATTTCTAACCAGCAACATTCACTTAAATGATTCAGGAAATTATAGGCTCTTTTTTAAAATTGTTTAATAAGATAAACATTTCCAAACTATTAGTCCAATGTCAAAAATAATTGCTCGCTAACTGAGCCAGAGATTAATTTCAAACTAGTTGACAACTATTATAGGTAAATGCTGAGCACATTTTTCTTTTTAAATCCAATAACAAACCATTAAAAAGTGACATCACATTAAGATGTGTAACGAACTGAGATGAATGAACTTCAGTGACAGCAGTGAAATGAACGGCTCGGTGCAGAGGTGTTACGTTTCAGTGATTAATAACGAAACATCGAGTGTTGCCTACAGATGAATCACAATTCTATTTCAGGATTTTTTTTTTTAAAAAAGAGAGAACAACAACTCTGTCAGGAATTTTAAGTTTTTCTTCAGCATTTCTGACGCACGTGTTGTGTCTGTGAACAGGATGCAGGTCCTGAAGACCAACACGACGATTCATCTGCTCTGAATTTCACACGTTACAACATCATCTCATCTGCACTCGCACTGAAGCCAAACTGTTGTGAAAACAGGTCCGAGGTGGTCATGGGTTCACGAACAAGTCAGAAATGTCATTCATTTGAACTGTTAATTCAGTCAAACGTCACAGATATGAACTTCCAAAAGGGAATTCAGCACCGGTTTTTAAAAACGGTGCGTTTTATGCGTATTAAAAAATGCAAATCTGACAGAACAGCAGTCAAATTTGACTCCTCACAGGGAAATTTAAAACACGTCCTACATTTGGTTTCCTTCCTGCCGTCAAGTCAAAGAATGTTGTTTTGTACCATCACTGCCAGGCTGTGAAGCAAATGCCAAAGAAATAAAGAGACCATGTGGAAGCTGCGGCCTGAGCCAACCGTCCTCAGGTACGTCTCTGTGGGGAAATGCTTTTCCACTTTCTTTTTCCAAATGAGCTCACTGTTTGTTATGTAACACCTGCCAGATTGACTTATTTTGCTTTGGTAGGAAAAAAAAAGCAACAACACAAGACTACATCACTCATTACATAAAATAGAACCAGCAGGCTGTGATCAGGCGGATGAAGGAAGCAGACTTGTCTCTGGAAGGTCGCGGGTTCAAATCCGTCCCCACACACTGCTCTTTTGCGTTTTTTTACACACAACTTTTTATTGTTGTCGTTTTCACATCCATGAGCACACGACAAAAAATTTTTGGAAATAAATATTAACGATTTAAGAGACATTAATGGACAGATCCTCATTTTGATTGAACGTCTGATTTCAAGTTGTTGTGATGGGATAATAAGCTTGGATGTATTAATGGTCAGATCCTTATTTTGATCGAATGTTGTGATGGGATAATAAGCTTGGATGTAGAAAAAACTGTTAGTGATGAAGAGGAGCAACAAGAGGAGGAAGACGTAGACCATGCACAGAGAACTATGGAAGATTACACCACATAAAGTGGAAGAATGAAAAAGATGGGGGTTTTTTCTACCGGCTCCACAAACTTCTACAACTATTGATAAATCAACACTCTGGTGGTTTAAAAAAAATCTTCAAACTTTCCTCATCCATGACTGTATGCATTGCTGCATCTGGGTGCCCATATAAAGCCTGCTTGGTTTTTGTGGTAATAGACTTTTGTGGTATTTCCAGGACTTAAATTCCCACTGGAGGAAATGAAACCTCCTGTTCTCGACCTTTTTGCAAACGCACAGCAGTATTACTAGATGTACAACTCCACAAAGCTCTGAGGGGGAATGAATTATGTAAGACGGTGAAATGTGCGCTTTTGTGTAACCGGAGCATCGCAGCGGTGGAGGCCAGTGGAGGAGCGGCGGCGGCTGCTTTTCAGCGGGACATCCCACTGAGAAACAAAAAGCCGTGGAGGAGCGGGGCGGCTCGGACCCTGCGTCCGCACAGGAGGAGGGGACAGGACGGCCGAGGAGCGTCTATTGTTCCGATGAGAACAAAGATGAATGCATAAGTAATGAGGGCCCGCTCTCCACAAACCAAACAAAAAAAAACATGGGAACTCGCCACGAGCACCCCGCCATAAAAGTTAAAACTTTTAAAGTTTTGGGTTTACCCGCTCTAAAATGAACGGAGTGAAGGCTACACAAAGCCCGCAGCCCCGGTGGAAGAGTCCGGGGAACAGAGCTCACATCCCCGGTGAGTGATGCCCCTCTGCTCCCGGCTCCAAATTAACACTCCACATGGACTCATTCACAAGCTCAACGTTGTTAAACGTTGAGACCCGACTCATTTAGGGTGAATTAGAAGCACATATTTAGGATTATGTGAGACAAAGAGTCGTAAATTTAAATGCTCAAGGGCAATAAAGATGAAGATGCGGGGCGGCTGTGATGCCGGTTAGCGCATCCCCGCAGGAGCCAGGCTCGTGGCATTGTTTAACTAGCATTTAAGTATACATTACTTAGCAGCTGAGCTCCATTCATATGACTGTGCTGTTGACGCGGCGCCGCGCTCAGATCTTAATTTAAGGGCGTTTTAACTTCTGTGGGAAGCGAGGGTAAAATTGAATAGATTTTAAACAAAAAAGAGACACACTGAGGAGTTTCGCGGCTCCCTCGTGACAAACAGGGGGAGGCGACGTGGTCTCAGGATGGATTCGCTCGATGGCGGCTAGTGCTACATTAGCTCTGCGTAGCATTAGCACGGGCAGTTAAAGAGAGGCCGAGCGGCAACGGCAGAAAGAAAAGGTCAACTCACCATTGGAGAGATTGATGAGGGCTGCGTCTTGTGTGCTTTTGATTTCTAGCCGCAGTGGCTGCTGCTCCGAGTGTCGCTGTATGTCTCCATTCGCGTCTCCGATAGAGAGGAGCCGCACGCCGGGGAACACCGAGACCGCCATCTTCGATCTGGAAGTCGAGACAGGTCGCTGGCGCTCACATCCAACCGCGCACTGCTCTCTGCTGGAGGCAGAGTGGGCACCCGCCACACGGAGAGGCGCCAACAGCGACACTCTATGGATCAAAGCGGGTATTGACGCTACACGGAAGAATACGTCATACCTTGGCTGTGTGAGCGATTTAGTGCGTTTATAGGACACGTTTGACGAAACCGACTTCACTGAAATAATATTATTATTATTATTATTATCAACATCATTATTATTATTATTAATAATATTATTATTATTAATGTTGTTATTGAATGCATTAGATTAAATGCAAAGACCAGTATACTGCATTGTATGCAAAAATGTGACGTTATATGTATGTAAATTGCTGAGACACTAAGAGACAGAGAGCAACGACAAATAAAAGGTCATCTTTTGGTGAATAAAAAATTGAAAGTGTTTTAATTATCTAGACACATACGATTACTATGCTTTTTGGCACTGTACAATTTGCAAAGACATTTAAGCATAACTTCAATCAAGGGATGTGATTGAAAACTGCGGAAATTAGAAAACCTTGGAAATTAGAATCCTATTGGATGGTCTACTTATAAAGTAGGTTACAAAGTTGACAGGTACTGTAGAAAACCCCAAACTTTCGATTAAAAACACACAATAGTAGCATGACAAAAAAGTTGGAAAAATCATACAAGTTTCTAGAAAATAAAAGCAGAAGAGTTGAATAATGTAAAAGCCATACATTAAACCAACAGTTGATAAATACACAGAAACATACAGATTAAACCCAAAGAATAATTTCACTCCCTGCGTAGCTGCCCAGCGAAACACCATGTTTGTGTTTGCAAAGTCCTGACGTCTTTATCTCCATTGGCAGTGGGTCACATGACAGACATTCACATCACAGTGATCAGGCATCTGATTTTTCCCCCCTCGTTGTCCTGAAACATTAAAAAAAAAATTAGCTTCATGTTTGCTTTACCCCCTCGTTGTCCTGAAACAAAAAAAAATTAGCTTCATGTTTGCTTTAAGGCTTTTGGTGTTGTTCTAAAAAGACAACCCATTTATTGTGCAGCGGCACCAAAGACTCTCACACCTCAGAGTAGAACACATGACTTTGGAGGTCTGAATGGGTTATCACTGGAGGGCACACCAGTCAGGAGAGGATCTTTGTGGGCATTCTGCAAGCAGAAGGCCTTCAGCTCCGCAGCAGCCTGAGAAACCTGCGTTATGAACAAGACACGTTGACATAATGAATACAGTCACAGTATGATATGATGAGCACATGGTTACAGAACGATGAATGAATCTACCCAACACTATGCAAAGTTTGACCTTAGACATCATGATAACAATTCAAATACATCCACAACAAATATGGTAAATTACTATCCATCTGTCTATCAACTGTATCGAAGCAGAGAGTCCTGGGTTTGATTCCTGGAGGAACCACATGCTCGGTGCCTGCCAGGGGGCAGCCTTTTACAGCAGATCTGTTGTTCACACAAGAATTGGGATCAATATGGTTCAAATTATTATTATTGTTGTTATTATTATTATCATCTGTGAACTGAGTTAGGAGACCACAGCTATACCACACGTGCACATTCACGTGCACATTTCTTCTCACATTTTAAACTTGCCTGACTTTTGTTCTAAAAATAGTAACTTTCAGCCCAACAATCACAGCAGTCACACAGCAGCACAATCAACAAAGGCATCACTGTGCAGCAGCAGCAGCAGATGTAGCTGTAGCAGCAGCAGCAGCAGCAGCAGCAGGGAGGAGGAAGGTCACCATTTCACTGCACAGCAGGAAACGGGTGAAGTCTCTCCTGGGCTGGAGAGAAGTTCCTGTTACAGTTTGAGCCGGTTAAAAAATGACAGACTAACTCTGACAGACATGTTGTTTTATAAACACTGGCACAGACGAGGGAGTTTAAACTTTTACAAACTTTCCAAAAGTTTGGGTTTACAGACGATCTGTACAACGTCTCTCTCTCTCTCATACACACACGCACGCACACGCGCACACGCACACAAACTTGACAGGAATTACTTTCAGATACATGTAAAAACTCCATACATAAATATTTCGGGGTGCTACTTATACCGTTAATACGGTATTTTTCTATTGAGTTGAGCAGCAAGTTCTAGACACACATTACACATATTAACAGACGTGAATGCACTCGCACACAGTGACATTGAAGCCACGGTGGTTAATGTGTAAAGTCGACCGTGTGTGTAGTGTAGTGTAAAGCTTTTGTTTGTTTGTTTGTTTGTTTATTTGTTTGTTTGTTTGTGTGTTTACCTTGATCCTGTGGACACTGGCCTCCAGGCGAAGCTGCTTCACTGCCTTCTGGGCGACGACTAAACTACTGCTGGCGGTGCTGTTGTTTGACATGACTGAGACAGAAACACAGAGAGTCGCCCGGGCGTCAGACTTTAACGCTGCGTTCACTGTCAGGCTGCAATAACACACGCCTTCCGTCCTCATAACTTTCAAAATAAAAGACGCACGTGTGTCCGTTAAAAGCGGCTTCTAAATTTGTATAATACACTGACTGTGTTTGTTTTACCAAACAGTATGGTACAGCTCTGTTTAGTAGGTTTTAGTATTTTAAATACAGTTTATTGTTTACATGATGGCAATGGAAGTGTTAACACCCTGCTTTGTTGTGTATTTTAGTAAATTGTCTTGTATATGTGATGATAAATCGTTAGTTTTTATAATGACTGGAAAACTATGATATATATAATAGTACTATATATATATTGATATTTGATAGCAAAGTAAGTATTTGAATCATGATTTGTTTTAGTATATAATATATATTGATATGAGAAATTTACAAATCTCTTAAAAAGTTTTATTTTCAGAAAAGATATATTATTGTAGATTTTAACGTAACGTATTTGAATCCTGAATTCGTAAACACTGCAATGTTAAAAAAAAAACAACTCATGAAACATTGACTTAACCTACATAAAGCAACACGTCTAATACAGTGTTCTGTCACACTTACAGTATTACAAGTGGAGGTATTAGCTTTGTCTGTAGGGGGTACTGTTGAGTAAACTTGATGGTACTCACCGGAGAGAAGAAGAAAATAGCTTCCGGTTCAATTGTTCACTCACTCGGGGTCACAGTCGCTGAACAAACAGAGGAAAAACTTCAGTATGTTATTACATGTAAGTATAAATATATGTCATATAAATTTCGGCGTGTTTTATGGAGCCTAGATGTTGATGGTGACGTCACCGGCCGCTGTGGGAGCTGTTGTCCCGTGACTGCTTGTGTAACGTTGCTCGTGTATCTGTCAGCGTCACACTGTGACGTTAGTGAATGATGCAGACACTGCAGGCATCTTATGGGGTTTTTTTAAATTGCACATAGTTAGTTAACAGTAAATAAAGAATAAAAACCAAGAACAATGTTTTTACTATTTTTTTTTTTTTAGTCTGAAAATTAAGAAAGTCTTAATGTGTGTGTGTGTCTTTCAGAGAGTGTTACAGCTCGGTGGGTTAACACTGAAACACAGCAGATCCTTCCATCACAGTCCAGTATGGAAGAGTCCTCTTATACCTATAGTTGTGGAGCAGACGGTGAGTCAAATTAAATACATGGAATTAAAACCCTGGAGACCTAAAGAAAATGAGTCAAGGTTGCATCAGTGTGGCAAGAAAAATGATTTTCTCTTTTGTTCCAGGGAAGAGGAGAACGAGCGTATGACATCTATTCTCGCCTCCTGAGGGAAAGAATCATTTGTGTAATGGGTCCTGTGAGTAGAATCATTCTGTGTAACAGAGTTAACTTTTTGTTTTGCTCTTTTTCTGCAAACATGAATTATTTATCTCCCTGTTCCTGCTCAGATCGATGACTCTGTGGCCAGTCTCGTTATTGCTCAGCTGCTCTTCCTACAGTCAGAGAGCAACAACAAACCCATTCACATGTACATCAACAGTCCAGGTAAGAACAGCACTGTGATGTTGTTGTTGTTGTTGTTTCTGTTTCTCCTCATCCAAGTCTTTTTTATGGTTTGGTCACTCTCTCAGCCAATCGTATCTCTCCTCTGCTCTGACGTCAGGTGGTGTCGTGACAGCAGGTCTGGCCATTTACGACACCATGCAGTACATCCTCAATCCCATCTCCACCTGGTGCGTTGGCCAGGCAGCCAGCATGGGCAGCCTGCTCCTGGCAGCAGGAACGTCAGGAATGAGGCATTCACTGCCCAACGCCCGTATAATGGTCCACCAGCCTTCAGGAGGCGCCAGGGTACTGTCCTCCCTCCTTTTCTCTCTCTCCCTCTCTCTCTGTTTAACTTAAAGACAACTTAATCTGATCTGAAACGAAGCACAAACAAATGTCCTCGTGGTGTGTTCAGGGTCAGGCCACCGACATCGCCATCCAGGCTGAGGAGATCCTGAAACTGAAAAGACAGATCAATCACATCTATGCCAAGCACACAGGCCAGAAGCTGGAACTCATCGGTAGATTTACTATTTGATTTTATAAGTTGGATTCAGTTTTATCAGCTGAGATTTAACCAGAGTTTTCCTCTTCCTGCCACAGAGGGTGTAATGGAGAGGGATCGCTACATGAGTCCCATGGAGGCGCAGGACTTTGGTCTCATCGACCGGGTCCTGGTCCACCCACCCCAGGCAGGACAGGACGAACCAGAGCTGATACAGAAAGAGCCAGCAGCCACAGCAGCGGCAGCAGCAGCCGGTTCTTCTTCAGCTCCAGATTCTCCAGGACCTGATCAGACCCCTCCAGGCACCAACCCTCCGTCCTCATACAAACCTGAGCCATGAGAGCAAAGCTGCTGGGGTTATAGCACCACCTGGGGGACAATATCAGTTCCTGCCCATTCCAGGACACTGTTACAAAATCGGACTTAGTTAAACTGAAGTTGAACTGAGAGGACTTTGGTCTCCACTGGTTCATGAAGTGTAAATCCATGGTGTGATGAGTCCCGTCGACCATCAAGTAACATTTATTTGGATATTCTTCTTTGTAATAAAACAGTTTGACCACAGTTAGTGTTACTGTTTCATGTACTACTGCCCCCCTAAGGCCAAGTGGTAAAATGACCATGAAAAGAACAACTTAGAATAAAAATGTTATTTATTTAGATTTTAGTAAATGATATAAAAACTGGTCTGTTCAAATCAAGACAGTGGACCAGAAATACAAAAGACATTACAGTTAAAGCACTACACCAAGATTTGTGTGCAAGTTGAGCAAGTACGGTGTAACAATAAAAACCACTTTACAAAAAGGTTAACACTTAGTAGAAACACAGTAGAACCAAGTCTGAAACACAACGGATTTGAAATGACCTTCAGTGATGCCACAAGGTCACAGTGTCACAGAGATTGGCTGGTGAAAGATCAGGGTACGAGAGAAAAGTGACATTAGTTAACAGGTGAGTTAATACAAACCATCGACCCAACCACGGACTGTAACAGGTTAAAATAGATGATAGAATAAATAAAATAGAAGATAGAATTTTTTGTGTCCTCACACACACTTCACAAAATGTTGCAGCTGCTCTTGGGTGACGTCGTCCAGCGCAGCCAGCTCAGTTTGTTTTCGTCGTACGGGGGGTAACGCAAACTGTTGAGCCTCTCCAGGGCCCAGCCGCGCATCATGCACGCCCTCCGATGGCTGAACGTCTCAAAGCTCCAGCGACCGTGATAACTGCCTGAACCACTGACACCTACGGCCACAAAAAAACAAAAAAAATCAGACTGTTACATGCAGCAGATGTAAGCATAAAGATGTGTTTAACATCAGGCGGCGCGATTGAAGCTTCCGATGTGACACGATGAACTTTGCATCACAACATCCAATCGGCGAAGAGTTTATCCAACAAGCGAATGCGATTATCTAGCAGCGTGATACAAACATTTTAACTTTTTTTCCCGCCTCTATCGCATTTGTTGTGAACACCAGTAACACCAACTTCACTGCTCCTCTAATAAAAATCATGCTGCAGCAGTAGTGGTAGTTGGGGTCGGGGTGTGGGGGGGGGCGGGGGTCACACCTACCTACTCCTCCAAAGGGCAGAGTTGGTATTGCCATGTGGATGATCCCATCATTGGAGCAAAATCCTCCGCTGCTCGTCTCCTCCAGCACCTTTCTCACCACCTTGGAAGAAGAAGAAAAAAAAGTTTAGGAAAAAAAAAGAAACAAACTCGTGTGTGTGTGTAGAGGCCGCAGAGCTCTTACAGATGATTCGTCAGAGTAAACATAGAGAGCCAATGGCTTCTCTTTAGTGTTGACAAAGTCGATGCCTTCCTGGAGAGACTCGAAAGTCAGGATGGGCAGGACGGGGCCAAAGATCTCCTGATCCATCAACGAGTCGTCTGCTGTGATGTCCACAACGACTGTGGGAGCTGACAGAGAAAGAAAACAACACAATAAAAAAAAAGGCAACAGTACGAGTCAAATACACGCTTAAATTAATGGGGTTTAGTGAGTATTTAAATAAGTGAAACTCCCGAGCGTCAGTTGTCACGTGGCTTTGGGTTTTGATCTGATCTGAACAGATCTGGTCGATAACGTGTTCATAACTGAATTCTTCCGGGACTGAGGTTAGAAATACATGGCAGGTCTGTGATGATATCACTGGATGAGGACAAAGGCTGCACTCTGAGAACGAGGATAAGCTCAAAGGAATTCAGAGAATGCTGGTTGTTGGTTTTTTTTTCTTTCCAATAATCCAAAGTCTTCCACAAGTCGAATCACACGGAGACTGTGGACCAGCGTCAGAACCTTGGACCTCTGAATATTGGCAGTGATTGACAGCTAATTTAGTCTTTACTTGTTATTGTCCCATGTAGGAACTGGATTATTAAACCGTGATCTGCTCTGACGTCATCACCCACCGATGTACTTCTCCTCCTGGTTGCTCTCTCCTCCCACCACGATTTTGCCTTTGGAGCTCTTGAGCTGCTCCATCACTCTGTTCCAGTGTTTCAAGGTCACCATCCGGGTCAGGTCCGGAGTGGTTTGAGGGTCCTCCCCGTAGAACTTCTTCAGGGCTTCAATGATTGCTGGAACCAGAGCGTCCTGCGTGGCCCGCGAGCACAGCAGGTAGTCGGGGGCCACGCAGCTCTGACCAGAGTTGAAGAACTTGGCCCACACCAGGCGTTGAGCGGCCGCTTTGAAGTCCACTTTACCGTAGATGAAGGTCGGACACTTGCCCCCCAGCTCCAAGGTGACTGGTGTCAAGTGGACAGATGCTGCCTGCATGATGCTGCGGGCCACGGTTTGAGAACCTGAGAGAAAACAGAAAGGTCAGCATCAAGAGACAAATATTCCACAACAGTGAAGGACTGTTGACTACGAGACTACGAGCTTGGACATGAGGCTCACGTTAACCTCCAGGGGGCACAAAACTACCTGCTCTCAACCCACGCTCAGAGAAAGACAAACATGGACAGTGAGAAGAGCGTGACTCTTCATGGAGGTTCTCACCTGTGTAGAAAATGTGGTCGAACCGATTCTTTAGAAGAGCTTTGGTTTCCTCTGGTCCACCACGAATTACTGCGTAACACTCCTGGAAAATTAGGCCACATTGTTCACTTTAATCCATCTCACAAAAAAAAAAAAAAAAAAAAAAAAGGAAACTTGGGGGGTTTTACCTCGAAAAAAATTTTGGGGAAATGTCTGTGGGACGGTTTTACCTGCGACAGATATTTGGGGACAAGTTCTGCGATCAGACTTTCTGTGGCGGCGCTGACCTCTGAAGGTTTGATGATGACACAGTTTCCTACATCAACACATCAACGTGGTCAGATGTTGTGACTTGGGGAACCAGCGGTTTGCATCCAGTTACTGTGTTGGAGGAGATAAACCATACCTGCTGCGATGGCTCCGACCATGGGAATCAGGGTCAGGTTCACAGGGTAGTTCCACGCCCCGATTATTAACACAACTCCCAACGGCTCCCTCCGTACAAAACAGTCGTCTAGTTTTGTGGCCTGGACGTTGAAAGATTGACATTAATCAAGTATTTATTTCAACATCAAATCTTTAAAAAAAAATCTAATTGTATTCACAGCCATAAATTAAATTATACTAATGTTATTTTTGAACTGATTAAAATGTAGCACTCACCATGTTTTTGCCAACGTACTCTGGCTGCATCCAGGTTTTCAAGTTACTCAGGGCGTAGTGGGCTTCATTGAACAGAATGTCCATCTCAGACATGATGGCCTCAAATTTTGGCTGAAGAGTAACAAAGAGAAATTAATTACTTGATGTGGAATGTGTCATTAGAACAACATGTGATCCGTAAGATCTCTATTTATATTTAAATCTTTGATCTGGGAATATTTGTTCAATACAAATTTGTATAAGTAACTTCAACAGTGAGGGCAGTTTTTACATGTACAAGAGTTTAATATTTTAATATGTTTTTACCTTGTTTAGGTCTTTGTGCACAGCCTTCAGAAACAGCTCTTCATTGTCTCTAATCATGGAGATGAGGCTGTTCAGCTGTTCTCGACGAAACTGCTCCGGCTTGGAGATTCCTCTACGAAAACTTTCCCGTAATCTGTCGATGACCTGGATCTGTGTTTCCATCCTTAAACCTAGTGGAACACGAACAAAGCAGGAACGAATGACACTTTAAAGAAACAAATCAACTTTTTTATGAGTGCCGTCTGTGTAGACTTTGTGCACTTGATCGCAAGTACTACAGTATTTTGACATGGTACTAAATAAACTGATGTTGCTGTCACAATAATTAAGATTTAAGAAGAGGAAATCAAACAGAATCCTCACTAATTAGTGATGACGTCAGTGATCACTTTTGTCAAAGTAAGGGAAAAAAAATATTAGATCTAGTTTTCATCAACTCAATATGGAAAAAAAACATTACATTTAATGTGCATCAGTTATCAAGAAGTCGACTTCAATGACTTAAATCACGTTCACAGGTGACGTGATCACAGGTGACAACTTGTCTGTTGTGTACAGGTGTGCAAAACTACACGGAGCTCAGTCAAGGTCTAATGAGTTTCCTTTGTTTCGTGTGTATAAGGTACAGGTTTACATATCACACCGACGGAGTGACACGAGTTATTAAACTGATTAATTAGGTTTTCAACAAATAACAGGTGCATTATTGCTGCTAAATTAGCTAAAAAAAAAAAACCTGCTCTGAAATAACGCCTAGCTGCTAATGCTAACACATTTAAAGGCAAACCCTCCCACATATACAGGGTTAATTTAGGGTACCGTTTTACGCATTAAAAGGGAAAACATTATTGGAATATATTTATAGCCGAATTGAACATAATATATTTACACTTATTCCATGCGGCACTTCGGGATACGCGGTTCTTCCTGTTCGTGTCAGACGTACAGAAAAGACTAATTTTTGAGTTTTCTCGACGGAGACTAGTTTGAGCTGCGACAGTTTGGTGACTCGACGAATGGGCGACAGTCCACAATTTTCATACATAGGAAAACAGTGGCGAGTTCACCAGGAAACACATTGTGTCGTTATTGGCTCGTGTGATGCAAACACTGATTTGCAGCGGGAGCCTAGTTTAAAACGTATGACTGAACTTAAACATAAACGTCACCTGAGACTGAACGGATTTCAAAACGCCCGCGAATTCAGTGTTTTATACAGACGTACGACATCGTTGTATCCGTTCCTGAAGAGGAACGCGAATTAAAAGGCGAAACATGGCGATTGTCGCTTAGATTTACCTGATAAAAAGTTTGGTCGGTGAAGTCAGTAGTCTAAAAATGCAGAACCCCTGTCTGAAGAAGAAGTGTGTGTGACCAGGAGATACTCCTTCTGTTTCCGGTTGTCGCCTCTTTTATCTCTAACTACCGGTTCTCCCTGGGTATCTGGGAAATGACGGAACCGTGAGAAGGAGGAGGAGATGAGTGAAAAAAAAGGAGAGATGTATTTTCGGTTGTTCCTGAAAAACAACATAGCGAACAAGTTGGACCAGAGACGGTTTTGGTTTAGTGATAGTTGTTTGACTGTCACTGTCATGGTCTGTGGTTCAAGTTCAGAAGAGATGGATGTGAATGACATTCTGGGTTTCACTCCAACCTTGACGGTAAACGTTCAGCTTATCAGCCACAAAATCACAAAGAACAACAACAATAATAATAATAATTATAATAATAATAAAGTGAAACTTGTGACCAACACCAAAAAGACATGAGCAAGACAGAGGCAGGGGGCGGGGAATCATCTATAACTGGAGTGTCAAACGTATGGCTCGCGGGCCAAATTCTTGAAACAAATTTAAATAAAATAATAATAATTGCATATATTGACATCTAATTAGTTTGTATACAGCCCTGAACCAAAACGAGTTTGACACTTGTAATCTATAACAACAAAATAAAATAAATGAATCCAAAATGAGAATTAATTTAGTGAACCAAAACACACCTGTAATCTATAACAACAAAATAAAACAAATGAATCCAAAATGAGAATTAATTTAAGTTTGTCTGCTTTAGTGGAACCGAGACACAGACTTTATTCTGGTAATTTTCATATTTTTTTAGACATTTATCTTCCTCCACATATCTTACAGCAGAGGAGCAGGTTAAAAGAAAAACAAAAAACAAGCCAGAGGCAAATTAAATAATTGCCATATAATGTCTACGAGAACATTACGGCTGGTGATTTATCACAGTGAGTAAGAACACTTGTTCTCGTGGACTCACATGAACACACTCCACTTATCCAGACAGTCCATCACTCACGGCACTAGAAAGGCTTTGTGTGTGTGTTTGTGGTAGAACTGAGCTCAGATGAGAACAACGAACACATGAAGTGATGGATGAAGTCACACCTCAAAAAAAGTCAGCATTGATACAAAAACTTTATTTTCACAATATCAAAATTGATAGACCTACAGTGATTTGTAGAATAAAAGGAATCAAGAGAGAAAACAATGGTGAAATGTAGTGACTCCTGACCAGAGCCAATACACTGAATGGTATTTAATTGTGACGGTGGTGAACGGCACCACAGGGTATGTTAAATAGTGAAACATGAAAAAATGACAGTTAAAAAGAAAAAAATGACAGCAGGAAAAAAAAAAAGAAGACGGGCAGGGAATTGGTCATTTTCCATTCATTCCATTTCAACATTATTAAAAAAAACAAAAACAAAACATTGAAGGAATTTCTTCACGGGATAAAATTTTTGAAGGTTCCTGCCATCGCCATGAAAAAAAAAAACAAAACAAAAAAAAGCATCTGCTTCCAAATACTCCTACAACTAAACAAAGTTCACTGTGGAAATAAAACTACAGGTGTATATGTGGAGTACAGAGAGTGTCATATGTACAGAGAGTCCGAAAAATAAAGACAGCAGACGGAGAGGAGGAGGATGAGGTCAGAGGAAAAAAAAAAAAAAAAAAGAGAGACCACATTATAAATGTGAAAAAGAAGTGACAACAGTCATGGGCCCAGTTTCACCCTCCCCTAACACCTTTCACAGTGACTGTTCTGTCAGGCTTGGGCAGTGTGGCAAAAATCCAGCTCTTCAGGCTGAAGCTGTTTGAAACTCCAGACAAAAGGGCGTGGCAGCTTTGCGTGGAATTGCGGTTGAGTTCAGACTGACAAAACGGTCCAGCAGCAGGATGACGGAGCGTGGTGGGTGTGAAATGGTACCGGAGGTTTCAGCTCAACATGGCCGTCTGCTCGGAGACTTCACAGGAAGTAGTCAGCTACTGGCTTCTTGGAGGGAATACCCCTGGTTTCTTGTGGCGCTGCTTCAAATATGATGAATTCCCGTTGTAGATGCTCGTCCAGCTCCAAGATGGCTGCTACGTTTCCACATCTAATAATTCAAGGATGGGAAAAGAGGGAACACCAGGTAGGTTTCATATCAACAACTACTAATAGAAAAATATAAAACTAATATAACATTAAAGCTCTAAAATATGTTGTTGCGTAGATAAACCTATAAATTAAAGGGATTTTTTTGCTTTACGTTAAAGCTCTAAAATATGTTGTTGCGTACGTACCTGTAGCAGTAGTTTGGTGCCGACCACACGGTCAGTACCGTCTCATTGAAGTGCCACTTGTATCCTTCCATGACCAGTTGATGTGCTCGGCAGATCATGTGGATGTCATTGGCTGCGTTGAACTGGGCCACCACATCACTACCAAACAGGTAACCTGCTCCTCTGGGACTCACACCCCAACCTGTGGTGTCTACGAGCAGAGAGAAGAAAAACGGTCTGATTAAACTCTGAGGCACAAATGATGATTTATATACACACATACATATGTATACATGTGTTTCTCTATACCTTCAGGGTCCGACCACAAGAGGTCACACATGGGCCCGTCATGGGGCACCTCCTGTTTTCTGTCAATGGTTCTGATCTGGTCCAGTGTCTGAATGGAGGGAGACAAGCCACCGTGCACACAGAAGATCTGTGGGGAAAATCAGAGAGAGACTTTGTTATTTTAGGAGTGAATCAGGTGTTTTTACATTTCTTTTCAATCATTAAATAGATAAATTATAGTCAATTTAGAGTTGAATCCTTACGCACGTTTCTACACTATTGTGCCTTTGGCGACACTTAGAGGTGATGCTGGGGAACTGTTCTAATGTTAAAATATTAAGTAGAGTGATGTGCACATTAGAGCCTCAAGTATTAAGTTTAATTAAGTATATTATAACTCTTTACACACCCACGTGTTTGCTATTATACATGTAGATATTAAAGCAGATTTCACCGTACGCCATATTTCAGTAGAAAGTCTTTGAACATGAGGCCACAGGCCTGAAAAATACAACTCACCTTTCCATCAATAATAGCAGAGAGGGACAGGTAGTCGAAGATCTCAGTGCAGTATCTCCAGACGGTGACAGAGCCGTACTTGCGGAGGCACTCGTCGTAGAAGCCGTACACTTGGGTGATTTGCCGGGACTCGTGGTTTCCCCGAATCAAGGTTATCCTGTCTGGGTAACGCACCTTTAACAGCCCAACAACAACAACAAGATGAACAGTGAGGTAATTTGACATTTACTAAAACCTAAAACCATTTTAATCTGAAATCAATAGGATGTGAACTAATTCACCTTAAGAGCTAAAAGAAGTAGAAAAGTCTCCACACTGTAGAAGCCTCTGTCCACGAAGTCTCCCATAAAGAGATAATTTGTCTCAGGGACATCTCCACCAACCTGCAAGGAGGGAAAAAAAACTGAATGGACCTTACATAACAGGAATGCAGAAAAACATTTGTATTACAACACACACACACTGTACACTGTTCTGAAGCCCACCTGACTAAATGCTGCTAAACATAAATAACCCAAACTCAACCCAGAAACAAAAACCTATTTATTTTCTTAGATATTAACAGGAAACTATCACTCCAACATTATAACATTTGACAGCAGTCACATGTACTTTTCACAGGCTTTGTGGGTTTATGTGGTAAAATATGGGAATTTGTTTAACCACAATAAGAACACTGAATACATTTATTTTCTTAATATATTATTAAACATCTGAATGTACAACGCATCGTTGGAATATTACACACAAATATGAAGTATTTGTGAATATCATGGAAAAACAAACTTACTCTAAATAGCTCTTTCAGGTCATAAAACTGACCATGTATATCTCCACACACCTGTAAAAACCAAGAAAAACACAGTGATTAAATACATAAATATTACATCATATATATAACACTCAATCCACTGACTATTACTCACTGTGACAGGAGAGTCTACCCTCTGGACATTGCTTTCTTCTACCAGAATTTCTCTAAAAAAAAAAAAAAGTACATGCATTTTAAAATCACTTGCAGACTAATCTGTCCTAATTCAAGCAGCGAATCATATTGTAGATTTAGTTCCTGATAAAGACTTTACTGTTCTATACATTTAATTTTGGTGAGATTGAACTTCATAGGGGTTTAAGTCTTCTGGTAGAACAGTGGGTTGACAACAACAACAACTGTGCAAACAATGAATGTGTAGTAAAGGTGATGAACTACCTGGCTTTGGCACAGAGTGCTTTGACTTCATTCTCCTTAATGAGCTCGCAGCGTCTGAGCTGCTCTATTTGTCTGTCCAAGTCACTGATGTCCCCCATTGTCACACACATAGGGAGAGTTGATAACGAACTCTGCGCACACAAACAGACGCACACGCTCCTTTGCCTCGCAGCCTGGAGTTAAAGAAAACAACCGTTGTTTTCTTCAACAGGCAGAGGAACAGACAGCCTCAGTCACAAGTGCGGGGATCTTCAGCAGTGGTCCTGGCGATGCTCAGAATGACCCGCTATCTAGAAGTAAAAAGTGAACATTTCAGTCAGTTTAGCGCGAACTTATTTTAGGTACTTAAAAAAAGATTAATTAAAACTCATCATCCCCCGCTACATCAGGCGCGATATGGCATGGACTGGGTTTATATTAGCAGTAAGTGGCTGAGGAATGCGGGCCTATGGGCGTAGCTAAGGGGTTAGCGTGTTAGCTTACATCATCGCTAACGACGTCAGCAAACTAGAGATTCTTTGATAACTTATTCAACCATTCTGGTCGAAAAAAATGCCCTGAAAGTCAAAATATTATGATCGCCCAAACATTAAAGTGATTACAAGCGCCTACCGTTTATAGTTCTACATAAACCAAAAATAAATTTACGTCAAAAGTCTCAAAATTCAGAAGACATAGCGCCACTAGGCTAGTTTCAAGAGCTAATGCTAACGAGGCGCATTAGAACGATTAAACCGTCGATCGACAAATATACAAAACACATAAGTAAGTGGTTACCGTTAGAAGAGTGGATTGTAAGTAGGAAGGACAATCAATCAGAGGTAGGTTTCATTCCACGAAAAATGTTTTTTGTTTTTTTTTGTCGCTGTCGGCCGGCTCCTCTCAGCCCGGTCTTTGCCGGTTCGCTCGCTCAGTCGTGCTCATGAAACAGCAGCGACTTGACTGAGACTTCCGGTGTAGGGAACGCGCATTGAACAGGAAACAGGAGATTAAAAGTGAATGGAAGACAACTTTTAATGCTTTAAATTTCGTCACGTTTAGACGCAATATGTTAAAATTATCTTTGGTAATAGGTTTGTAATATTACGTAAGACACCGAATCTGAAAAACATTACGTAACTGTTTAAATGTCTTTAAAGTTGGTGGTAGGATTAGGGAAGTTGAGGCGTATCATAACGAGTTACTCACCCATAAGGTATATAAACAGCACCTTTTAAAGTATATTCACGTTAGTTTAAAAAGCAGACATTTGGATCTCAATAGAAAAAAAAACATTATTAAAGAGTGAACACTTCACATTTATATGATGGAATAGGAAATCCTTAAATCAACAGTAGTAGGTTATGAGTGTAGTAACTGAAATGGGAATGTCAGAAAATTGTACAGTAAATACAGAGTACAACCTGGAATTGTACAGACATTTTAGAACAGACAAGAAAAGTGCAAAACACAGTAAAAAAAAAAATTCTAACCATTATAGGTAAATAAACACAAGGTGTGTAAAAACACTATTAAGTTCTGTTATGTTCCTATTGTCAGCTCTTGGGTTCTCGTTGTTTACTTAAGTTACTTAAGTGTTCTGAATTGAATACTTTACACCCTGAAATTCTACTTTAAACAATTAAAAACAAAATAAAAGTTTTATGATAATATCTAGATTATGTTTTATGGCTAATGTTTTTTGCCTTAAAACAGAGGCTGATTTTATCAATAGTCACCACTGAGTCAGTTACAGGTTTTTACAATAAAACTTCTTTTTTTAAATAAATATATTAAAATCTTCAGTGGCCATTTTTGGATGTTTTAGTCTCGCAGTACAGATTTTAAAAAAATGTTTGCTTTCCTTACAGTCAGTTATGCAGCTATTATGTAAATAACAATAACGTGAACTTTATTGATTCCACATTGGAGAAATTGTTGACCTGGTGCAACAGGCTGCCCCCTGTTGGCGCCAAGTATGTGGTAACTTTCCTGATTTATTTATTTACTAATATTTAAGTTCACTTTACAGGATTTTTGAGTAATTCTTGCATTCAGAAAATAAAATAAATGTAAGGTAAAAGAGCCCTTTAAACCACAATCAAACCACAGAGTTATTATAATGATTATCCCTTAAAAAAAGTAAAACTTTAAGGTAAAGTAAATCTTCTTAAATAGAAAAAGAAAACCTTCCCAGCAGCCAACACCGTTACTCTGAAAAAAGCCTGAGTTTGTATCATATGTACCAGATAAGCCCTCAGTTATTTGTAATCTTAGGAACAATAACTGTGTGAACACACACACACACACATACAAACTTTATGTTGTTTCGTGGTCAGCGTGTCACAGGGAGCAGAAGTATCTGTGGGCGGGGAACGAAGCCAGTGCAGCCACAGCGATGCCCAGACTGTCGGCCACACTGGCAGCAGCCATGGCGAACTCTCTGTGTCGGTCTTCACTCTGCAGAACACACACACACACACACACACACACACATGCAGAGCTGTTATCAGTGTGAAGGATTTTCTGTAAAAAAGAAACAATACAATCCTAACAATCCTCTTTTTGAAGCTGTTAAAACCATTCTGGGTAGAAATGTAAAACAAAAGACCCACTAGGTGGCAGTAATGCAACTCAAAGAATATAGAGTAGATTAGAATTCAAAAATAAAAATGGCCAAACATTGACCAATGGTCATCAAAAAACAATCCACTCTGTTAGGCCAATGAGTCAGTTCACCCCCACTTCACTAAAAACTGACCACGTGACCAATATAAGCCCCACCTCCTTGCTGATGAAGTAAAAAGCATTGACGTATGCGGCACCGCCCAGAAGACCCTCGTAGAGGACGATCGCAAACACCAGCCAGGCACTCGGCAGGAACAGGAAACGCACCGCAAACAGCAGCAGGATCGCATTCACCAGCTGCGGAGGTCAGAGGTCACATGTGAATGATGTAATGATTTTGTATCTTCTTACAGCCCTGGGACTGAGTGTCTGACCTGTAACCCCGACAGGACCCAGAGTTTTCTGATCTTCACGCAGCACAGTGAGGACCGAGACAGCAGGACGCCAACCTGGTACAGAGTTTGATACCTGGACAGAGACGAGGCAGAACAACAGACCAAAGATGGAGTCTCCCTCCCCCAAAAAAAACCAAAACAGTAAATAACCTTCCACTGAGATGAACTCACCAGCGGTACTGCTCTGAATGGGACAGGAAGAAGTTGGGGAAATACAGGAGCTCCATCTGAGGGAGGAAACATCAACACTGCATTTTTACTTTTAACCAAATGATCACCTGGTGTTATTGATGCAGGATATATTTTAGTCTCAACTGTTACTCTTTAAGTCCTAAATCACCCACTCACCAGGCCCTGGTTGATGAAGTATTCAGCAAAGTAGACCAGACTCAGTGGAATGGTGAACTTCAGTAAACCCTGCCGTTGAAAAGAGAGTCACGCTGTAAACAACAACAACAACAACAACAACAAACACACACATGTTGTTGGAGACATGGCGACGCAACGACAGCTTCACTCACTCTGATGACGACCAGCTTCTCTGAGAAGGTGAGCGGTCCAGAGCTGATGACCTCTGACCCTTTGAGAGAGAAAAACAGTCAGTTACAACTGCTCTCCTCTGGGAGGTGCTACAGGAGCATTTCTGTCATTCTAATCAACAGCAGAGGCTGATCTTATGATTTGTCAAACCAGATAATCCTGTTACTGCTGGGGTTTTATTTCTAACCTGACGGCACAAACTCGGCTCTTGTAAATTGTGCACCTGGGTGTGCTTTGTCCCATTCCTCCTGTTCTGATTGGTCCATCAGCCCCTGGCGCTCCTCGGATGTCACAGCTGTATACTCCCTTTCTCGGCTTCTCCACTGAGGTAACGACGGTGGAGCAGCCAACAGGAAGAAGTAACTGGTGATGGAAACAGATGGAGAGGTGACGGAAATGAAAACCCAAACTCTGTGGTCGACCAGTGACTCCAGTTGGAACTCTTACCTCACCAACATCGCAACTGGTACCACCAGCATTATGAGCAGGGTGACCCGGGGTGACAGGCCCACCTGGGTGAGGCCCGAGTACAGGAACGATCCAGCCACACCGGCACCTCCAGTCCCCGAGGACCAACCTCCCACCATGTCTCTGAGAGCGGAAAAAAAACAACATCTGAGCCTGAAAACTAGAGTCGAGTCTGGAACAGGAAGTCTGAGAGTTTACCTGGAGAAGAAGACGGTGAGAGACAGGAAGGACAATTCTCCCAGTCCTGAGCTGATACTGGCAGAGATCACTCCTGCAGGAACACAGTCACAGACCATCAGGTTAAAGGGGACACTGTTAATAGAGTGATTACATGAGCTTAAACTAAAAATGTATTATAAAAATTGTTTTTATATACAGTATATATTTTCATATCCCAGTGTATTATCATCACTAGAGATATTTACAAAAGAAATGTAACTATTAGAATTTAAGAAAAATCTAAAAAATATTTTTTTTAAAAAAAATCTAAATAAAATCTTCAAGGTCAGCTTAATTGTGACACACATTTTTATTTTTTTTTTAAAATCTAAATAAAATCTAAAAAAGTCAGCTTAATTGTGACACACATTTTTAAATAAACATGAACCCAACCACATATGTTGCAGATCTGAGACAAAAAATATTTTATATTTTAAGTAAAAAGTCAGAAGTTTAAATGTGACACACACACACACGGTATGATTAAAATCAATGATTAAATTTTTCTGTTGAAAACCAAATTGGGTGACAGGAAGTGAAACCCAAAGATTAGAAACCACAGTTTGGTTCAGTCTGTGCTGCAGGTTTTACTCTAACTCTGTTCACATCTGGTGTGAACATCCGTCAACAGAACGTCTTTCGAATATGAAGTCCCTCCATGTGCCGTGAATGGATCCTCACAAATAATTAGTAAAACAAAAAAACAACAACAATAACAACAATGTTCAGGGTTGATTTTGAAGCGGCGTGTGTTTGTTTGTGCGTGTTTAACTGATGGAACAGAAAAGCTGTCAGTTCTCAGCTGCGGGGCCAACACCAGTGTCAGCACCGGTACAATTCAAATACTCATACACAAATACATGTCAGGTACTGATTGATTTATAAAATATATGCTTTAAAAAAAAAAATTTGTTTACCTATGATGCTGAACCAAACCGCTGTGGAGAAGGAAACCAGGAGGAAACTCATCATCCCCATGACAACGCAGAATAACACACGGAAGCTAAAAAGGGAATAAAGATGGACAAAGTAGAAACAGTATTTCATGTAGAAGTATCAAGTACAACACCAGCCCTCAAGTACTGCACTTTGGTATTATATATATTTATATTATATCTTTATATACACTGCATAGGAATATTATTGTTATTATTATTATTAATATATTCTTACCCATAAGGCATTTTGTGGATAAAAAAAGGAGCAAAGATCTTGAGGACGAGTGTTGGTAAGATGTCGGCGACCAGTACAGCCTGAAAAGAAACGATAACGTAATAGATTGTTAACGGGAAAAAGGAGGAAAATACACAGAATAGACTAGAACAGAGTAGAATGGACTAGAACAGAGTAGAATGGACTAGAACACAGTAGCACTTTTTGCTTCAACTGTTGCTTTTGAATTCATAAAAAGTCAGATTTCCTTGGACTGAACATAAACTATAAATCTATTCTTCTGTTTAAATGTAAAATAAATGTTAATGTAAATGAACAGTCAGTTTTTTACAAGACAGTTGGATTCCTCAGTTTCAGTCTGACTAAAACTATTCCTCAGACTAATAACACCTCATCATTTACCGCGGTGGAGATTGGGTTGCAGTCATAACGGCTGCTGTTGCTGCTGTTCCACCCCACAGACACTTCAGCTGACGACTATAATTAAACAGAAACACAAAAACATGGGTCAATCATTTCCTTCCTGGCATAAAAAATACTTTTAATTTAAATGTTGCCTTTCGTACAGTCTGTGTGGCATTTTGTTGTGACTCTTGTTTCTTCAGAATGTCATGGGCAGCACTGAGCATCACCACGTAAGAAAAGTTGTTGCACAATCCCAGGATCCTGAAGAGATTATCAGAAGAGAGAGAAGACGACACGCAGAGCATCAATAATCTGTAACCACAGAACAAACTCAGAAAAAAAAACAAGGTGGCGATCTGCAGATTAAAATCTGCTGCATGTCAGCACACTCAAATAATAAAACTACCTCCCTGCCCCCCATTTCCTTTGTGTTAATATATAGAGTACATATAAAACAATTTCTATTCGTTTAGATTTTTTATTAATACAATTTCTGCAATTAAAAAAAACTTATTTTGTTGAACAGTTTACTCTCCTTCAACACTGGATACTTTATTCTGCATTTGTGTAATCTGAACTAATGTCAACAAGGTAAAGCCTTGTTGACACAAATTTAAATACAAGTTTTACTAGTTACATCTTCCAAAATCAACTCGATGAAAAACTGACATTCTGTACATTTTCCAGTTTTCAAAGAAGGTGTTCTGTGTGGAATTTAATTTTCATTCCCTAAAACAATCGCCTTGAACAACAAAAACATTTATAAAACAAATTCTCAAGTCTTAATGTTCGACAAGGGGTTAACTGAGTATTACTGGATTCGCTCCTTTCTGCTCCTTTAAACAATGACCTTTTTTAATTTGCAGTTTTGTGTCAGTCAGCTGACCATATAAACAGAGCAGACGGGAAGCTGCGGTCTTCAACAGCCTGACATTTAACATTTGTGTCTTTTGATGCAACAGAAACTAAAAGGAATTCTGTTGCAGATACACACATATATGAAATATCCATTTAAACCACGGTAGTCTTACCAGAACGCAGACCAGTTTCGCCATCGCGTATACCGTCCTAAGTATATGAAATAAACACAACACTCAGGGTTTTATATGATTAAATGCCATAATAATTATATCTATTTATGAAAATATACATTGAATTCACAGAGTCCACACTCACCGACAGGAAGCTGAGCTGGATCTGCGTTGACGCTTCCAGTCTGCTCCATGTTTGTTGTCGATCCCTGGACTCACAGCAAAATGATGCGGCGCCTTTGGGCTAACAGTTAGCACCAGCGGGCTAACGGTCGACACACGTCGATAATGAAATATAAAGTGACATTTGTAACAAAATGACCAATTGGTGTCCAAACCTAAAGAGGGTCGCCTTTCTTAAACTTTTAGAAAACTCATATCTCGATCGTTTCAACTAGAAAACGTCACAAGACGCGGCGTGTGTCACAAAAATAAACACTGACAGAAACAAAAACGAATAAAATTCCAAAGTTTGATTCCGCTTTCGGTGGTAGCGTTAGCTTATACCTCATCATCATGGCGTTCTTTATAATAACAATAACATTCACATTATTATAATTATTGTTATTATTATTGATTAGTCATAAATTATCTGTTTTAACTGCTGTATAAAATATAGTTTTTTTAAACAGCAAGTTTAAATATCAATAAGATTTCAAATAAATCTCACAAACAAAAGGTGGGATTTATAGAGGATTAATAGACTGAAATAGTTTTTTTTAATGGTTCATAATTAGTGATGACACGTGTTTATCAGTTCAGAGTATTTGAGGGAACGTAGTTGCTGCCGTAGCTGAAGAGGAAATCAGATATGACTGATAACCATGACGTCAATAAGGTGTCACTCTCACACCGCTGTGCCACAGCATCACTCCGACTCTGATTCTGACTCCGACTCTGACTCTGAGATGGCCGTCAACAAACTCCTCAGTGTGGCGCTGCTGCTGATCTGCCACACAAGAGGTGAGCCGGGAGTGACGGGTCTCAGCATCACAACAACAGTTTATTTTTGTTCATCCCTGCAGGACTAACCTAAAGTTTACTTAATGTCCTTATTTTGTTTTAATTTAATACCCAAATATATTTTTAAAAACTATTCTACTGTCCGTTTTTCAGCACTGTTTGGAGATAAAGTCAGGGGGTTCGTCGTCGGGGGTCAGGACGCACCGACCGGCAGTTGGCCCTGGATGGTCCACTTCAACATCACTTCCGATGGGCGCCACACGTGGCGCTGTGGCGGCACTATCCTCGACAACTATTGGATACTGACTGCAGCTCACTGCTGGGACAGGTGAGGACACTGTGTTTCATTATTCCGACAGTTTCCTGTTTCGGCATTCTGGTGATGAATTTCGAAATGATCGTGTGATTTTCAAAATTTATTTGAATATATTTATGTCCAACTGCATTATATCATATTTTTTTTTACATTGTATTTGATATTTATGTCCAACTGCATTATATCATTAAATACTTTTTTTTTTTCAGAAAACTCAAGCCTTATTTGCCTATGTCCGTGGCCTGGTTTGGCACAAACCAACTTCAGGAGGAGAACGTCCATCGCATGGGCGTGTACATGGTGGTAACTCACTCCAGATATCAGGCAGTGGACAAAGGCTTCATCAACGACATCGCCCTGGTGAAGCTGCAGGGCAAGATGAACTTTTCACAGTTCGTCCATCCCGTCAGTCTTCCTTGTGTGGACCACGTCTTCACATCATCCTCCGAGTGTTGGCTCACCGGCTGGGGTAACATCGGGAACAACGGTGAGCTGTATATTTGAATACAGGACGACAAAATAAAACACTTAAATGTTGAATTTGAACCAATAGACAGACAGACTTTTCTTAGTTCTCCTAATTTTACATTAATGTTCCACCTCCACCTCCTCCTCCTCCTCTGCTCAGTTCCACTGCCGGATCCAGAGGTTCTCCAGCAGGTGAAGATTCCCATCATCCCTCATAGAGTGTGTGAGAAGCACCACCCTGGTCTGACCCCCCAACAGCTGTGTGCCGGAGACATGGCCGGAGGGAAGGACGCCTGTGAGGTGAGTTCCTCGGTTTAATCTGGTCAAATTATAATCTGTGTGGGGGCAACATTGCCCCCCCCCCCTCCGCTGATGGTCGGCCGTAATCAGCCAGACGAAGTTAATTAATCAAAGTCTAAAGAAAGTTGGGTTTTTTTGTTATTCTGTACCTTGTTCTAGACCAGGTTTGTCAAACATATGGCCCACGGGTCAAAACTGGTCCGCTTGGGGTTTCAATCAGGCCCACTTGATGCATTTTGAAGAAAAAAATATGAGACAAACAGGCCCACTAGATGAATTTTGAAGAAAAAAATATGAGACAAACACTCCATGTTTAAGAAATGTTCCAGACCTTTAGGAGTGTGTGTTTGTGCTCCGACCTCCACAGGGGGACTACGGTGGTCCTCTGATGTGTCATGGTGACGCAGGGTTCGTGCAGGTGGGCATCACCAGCTCCGGTGGTTGTGGTCTTCCAGGTCAGGTTGGTATCTACACCAAAGTGTCCAGGTATCTGACCTTCATCAACGACTACGTCCCCCCGCGACGAAAGAATCGCTGCTGATTCTGGAGCCGTTCAAACACTGCTATTGGCTAATGTGCTGATGACATCACGGCGAGTTACAGTGTTTGCATTTAACTCCTCTGAGAGTCTGTGTCAGAGAATCTCTTTATATCCTGAAGCATTTACTTAAAGGCACAGTTCAGAGTTTTTCACTTATTTTGAATAAAGTTCACAAAACAACAGAGTTCACAGTGTGCGTCCTGATATGCAACAACGCAGTGGTTAGCGCTATTGCCTTACAGCAAGAATATCACAGATTGAAGTCACAGATGTAACTGACGGTCTCACTGGAGGCACGTTCACGCTCAGGTGAACACAGGTGTGAATGTGAGTGTGAATGGTCGTTTGTTTCCGTATCTGACCCTTGCTGCTGTTACTTGACCTTGGAACGCTGAGTGAGTGGTTTAAAAAACACCAGACTATAAATGTTTTCTAAACCGTTTATTTCATCCCACACCAGGTAGTTAGAAAACCTTTTTAAAAAAAATGACCTTTTTTTTTAGTTCTCATTTCTTTAGTTTAGAAAATGAGACCAAGCAGTTAAAACTCTGTGCTGAGCAGAAGTTGATGGTAAAAATGGTCATAAAAATAAATACGAATCCCAAAGACCTTTTTTTCGAACCCTTGACGTCTGTCGTCAGTGATCCTGTCAGAACAGGAAGTTATTTCATAAGAAGGCACAAAACAGTCGACGCACGAGAGACAACGTTCAAACACAGTCCATTTCAAAACTAAAAAATAAAACTAAAAACAGACAAAACACTGTAAAAATAACAAAGTAAACATCAGCAAAACAAAACATTTTAGGTTTTGACCAGGTTTTCTTAAACTGCTAAAAAAATTTTTTTTTAAATAAAAACACAACGATGTCAGTTGTTCATTAACTTTTCCTATTTTTGTTTTCTTTATGTTGAAGGTGTTTCTTCATTGGTTGGAGTTACTGAGTCATTCTATAAAATGTTCAATATTTTAAGACTTTTTTCTCGTGTAGTGTAGTTTCTGAAATGAGAGATTAAATACCAAATCATGTTTTTGCTGCCACTACAAATCCCATTATTTCAACTGAATTATCTGAACAAACTCATATCAGCTGCAAAATATATATAAAAAAGTTTTAGAAAAAATATGGTTTACATTTCCAATGGTTCAAAACCAAAACATTTAAATTTGGCATTTTTTCATTGTTTCTGTTTTTGATATAAACATTTACTGAACTCAAACTTTGAAGAATCCTGACCTGATGAACTTATCATCCACCTGCGATTTTCACGTTAAAACAACAAACATGACAGTTTGAACAGTGCCTTCCTGGAGAACAGTGATCTGAGAGGTTATTTAGCAGCTG